TTGATTTATTATTAATAGTGCTTGAAAACATGAAATGATTATCAGTCACTTCGATATCGATAATTACCATTTAAAATATTTTTGTTTAAAAATTTGTTACACACATGTGGTTCCCATTTTTCGGATATACCAGACGTTTCTCTTCCGTCTACTCCCAACGGTGATGTCACGGTGGCGCCCACTTGGTGCATGGCGAAACCGTCGGCATCACCCGAAGACCTCCAACAGATACTGGACTTCTGCTGTGCGCATGTACAGTGCTTTTGGGGAGACATGGATCCGTGTTATCTCCCCAATACAGTACTAAACCGTGCATTGCAAGCTATGAACATGTACTACAAATAGTACGGAACAAACCCCATCAATTTTTAATTAAATTTATCAATTGTTTTCTAATTAGTCTTTGTAGTATGATTACTTATCATTTTTGTTTGTCATTTACTTTCGTCTCGTGAGTTTATATATAATTTGATTTTTGTTCATCGTAGAGAAATATTAGAGATTTTATGACACTATTTTTAAAAAGTTATTCTTTCCTAATAGATTGATAAATAAAAGAGTTAAGATCATTTTTCAGTTAAATGTTTGGTTAAAAAACATTTAATATATATTTCTTTACATTGACAAATAAATATTATCATATTACTACTAAAATCTTGTGTAACCTTACATTTATTATTATTTTTTTATTTTTACTCTACTTAGTCTTTCACTTTTTTATTCTAATTTAATTTTCTTTTTAGTAATAAAAAATATTTTTATGTATTAAATGAATATTTCAAAACTTAAATGTCTTAATTTTTTTTTTTGCCTATGTAGACACTATAGATCGAGAGAGAACTCCCTAATTATAACAAACTAGAATATGACTCGCGCGATGCGTGAGTTTTTGTTTACAATTCTGTTAAATTTACTGACATTTTTTTAAAAATCAATCTAATAGTTTTATATTTATAATACTATTTTTGAATTGAAATGAAATTAATTGTTTCTTTTATTTATATTTTATGAAAATATGAAGTGATGCTTAATCATTTTAATATCGATAGTTTCAATATAAAAATAGATATGTTAATTTGAGACTTTGCTATCTATATATATATATAGTTTTGTATTTAATCACTCCCTGTTTTATTAATCAGAATTTTTTTTATACACTTTTAGAAATCAAATATAATCTAGAAAAATTTCAAAAAATGTCACTTTTCAAGTGCCACTTTACAAAAATGCCACTTTTCAAGTGCCACTTTACAAAAATGCCTTTACAAAAATGACACTTTTTCAAAATTATTTTTCTTTATATTATTTATGTTTGGGTTAATTATGTTCTATTAGGGTTTAGTTTTGAGTGTTTAGGAGGTTTTAGGTGTCAAAACATTT